ACATATAGGAAGATATGGGGAATCTGGCTATTTGTTTGTATTTATTTGTGTGTCCCAGTTCCCCTTCGAAGACTCGAGTGCGCCAGAACTCGGGCTCGTCGACGCTCTTGGACGAGCGCGTCCTGGAGTGTGACGGCCCAGTTCTCGCGGGAGTCTTGCGGCGGGAGCTCGCGTCGGATGACTTCAGCCTGGGCCTCGCTCCACATCTTCAAGACCGCCCCGTCGGGCCAACCCGAGCCCCCCGAACCCGAGTCTTAAGGCTACCCCCGAGCGAGCGGCTGCCTGGAATGTGGCGTTCGCCGTTGGCGCGCACTTCACCCAGAGATCCGACGTCGTGATTTTTGACGATGCGCGGTCCCCGGAAGCCTCGACCCGTTCCCCGGGACCGGTTCTTCGTCCCGAGCCGTTCTGTTGGCGATCCCGGGGCCCGGCGAGGGCCCCATCGGGACCTCGCAAATAAGAGGGGGGGGGTGCCACAAGGGGGGGGGGGAGCGCGGTCCGTTGGCGCATCGAACCGCGGAAACGATGCAAAGCGAGGTCTCGGTTGGCGCATCGAACCGCGGTCGAGAGGCGCCGACAAGCGGGGCGCGCGGTTGGGCACCGCTTCTCGGGACTTCGCTGCACCAGCGGATCGAACTCCCCCCCCCCCCTTCGGGGGCTCTCGCCCCCCTTCTTCTTGGTGGGCCCCGAGCCGAAGAGGCCGAGCATTGCGAAAGGCCTCCGTCTCGACGGGGATTCTCGCCCCCCTTCTAGGTGGGCCCCTGACCGAAGAGGCCGAGCATTGCGGAAGGCCTCCGTCTCGATTCTCGTCGAGGCGTCCGGACCTCTGGGGGAAGGGCCCCCCTCTTGCCCAGCGGTGCGCGCGGTTGGGCACCGCTTCTCGGAGCTTTGCTGCACCAGCGGATCGAACTCCCCCCCCCCCCTGGGGGGCTCTCGCCCCCCTTCTTATGGTGGGCCCCGACCCGAAGAGGCCGAGCATTGCGAGAGGCCTCCGTCTCGATTTTGTTGTCGAGGCGTCCGGACCTCGGGGGGAAGGGCCCCCCTCTTGCCAACAGCGGGGTGCTGCGCGCCGCGCGCCGCGTCGGCGAGGTGCGGCGGCGCGAGGCGGGCAAGCAGGAGGAGGAGCCGCCGCCCGCGGACGCCGCGGAGGCCGCGCGGCCGGCGGGCGCCGGGGGCGCCGCGCGGCGGGGCATCTCGCTGACGGAGATCGACTCGGAGATGGCGAACCGCCTGGAGCCTCGCGGGCCCGGAGCGTGCAGTCGGCGCGCCTACCCCGAGAGAGCCTGGCGCTGCAACTTTTTGTTTTCCACAGGCGTGTTTTAGCTCGATGTCGGGCTCCGCGGGGCCCGTCGCAGCTCGATCCGGCTGGAAGAGTGACGCAGGAAGAAGCGGTGCGGGGCTCTGGGCGTGAGTTTTGCGATGTGGCACTTTTGCTGCAATGTCGGATCTCAGGGTATATATATGCATAGTATATGTATATATATATATATATGTATGTGTATATTAGTGTACACATATACATATATATATGTATATATATATATATATATGAATATATATATATATATATATATATAGTAAGGACGCGCGCGCCTTCATCCGGGGTGCCCTCGTGTCCTTTTCTGTTTTTTGCGGCCCGTCCTCCCTGTGCCGTTTTCACGGGCCTCGCCCCAGGGGCAAGGCTGCTTGGGCGTCCCTGGTAATTTTGGTCGCCCGGCGCCCAAAAGATCCAATTTCGGCCTCCAAGGGGTCGTGCTTCCGTATACCACCCGTCCTGAGTGCACACTTTGACTGTAGCGCGTGCGGGTGCTGGCCGAGATGCGAGCGTTGGGGGTCTCATCGGGGATGGCCGTGGTCGGAGTTATGGGGGGTGCGCGCCGACTTCAGGTCAGATGTGGGCCCCGAAGAGGCCCCGGTCCCCGTGTTCCCGGTCTGGCACTTGCGAGCAGCGCCAGTGTCGAGAGCCTGGGCCCACGCGCTCGCATCCACATTATCCACGGCCTCGCGCACTGGGCCTCGGGGCCGCCACCCCACCGATGCGGGGCAGTTCCTCGCGGATGCCCGGCGTGGGGCCATGCAACCGCGCTCCCACCGGATCGCCTGCCGACGCCGCCGCCTGCTCCACGGATGGATTCGCCTCGAAGCCCTGGCTGGATCGCACCCCGCGAGAGGCCCGGGGAGAAGCGGGACATACCTCCACCCTTCGCCCGCTTTCCCCGTTCCGGGCCTCCTGGGAGGCCCTCGTCGCCACCGCCGGATTCGCCCCGAAGTGTCTTGGTCGGAGCGTACCCCGGGAGAGGTCTGGGAAGTGGCGGCCTCGGCACCTCTCGGCCTCCGCAGGGCCCAAGGGACGGCCGCTGGCGGGCCAGGCCGCCCGCTGCACTTCCGCGGAGCCCTCTTGGGGGGCACGCTGTTGCGCGCGCGCAGCACGCACTCAGGGTTCTGTCCTGTCCCGTCCCAGGTTGGCGCTGGGCCTCCGCGATGGGGTCCGAGTGTAGATGAGGTCGGAGGATGGCGCTGCATCGCCGATGCACCGCCGAGGCGACTCCATGTATAGAGCCCGACCTTCTCCGCGCTGGCGTCGCCGAAGCTCCGCCGATGTATTGCCGATGCGTCGCCGACGCATCGGCGCTGCGTCGCCGATGCGGCGTGATCCCCCCGGCCCCATCTATTCTCGGACCCCATCTGGGAGGCCTCTGCTATCTGTTCGCACCCCATCCATTCGCACCCCATCTGTTCGCACCCCACCTTTTCGACCCCATCTGTTCGGACCCCACCCGTCCTGGGGCACGGTCGTCGTGCCGCCCCAGGAGCGGTTCTTCAGCGACGACAAGCTGTCGCACCAGGTGCACCAGGTGATCGCCAGCACGCGGACCTTTGCCACGAACCTGCGGGCGGCGGGCCCCGCCCCGGGCGGGTCGCGGGGGCCCGAGCTCTTCCGCGTGGAGGTGCCGCGGCCCTACCCCGGCGTGCAGTACCGGAAGTCCAAGGACCTCAACGAGCGGCACAACAAGTTCGCGGCGAACGGCGAGATCGTGGAGGGCATCGTGGAGGACGACGGCGAGTGGCTGCGGATCAGCAGCGACGTGTACGTCCCCATGCGCGTGGGGTCCGTCCAGATCCTGCAGCCGCTGCCAGAGAAGGCGGAGGCCCCGCAGCGCGAGGTCCCCTCGGTCACAGACAGCGCGACCGGGGGGCCCCCGCAGTGCTGGTCCTGCAACATGCAGTAGCGCGCCGCGCGGGAGCAGCCTGCGCCGCGGGCCATCCCCGAGGAAGAGCCGCTGCACGGACATAAATTGCAGGCGCTCCGCGCGGCTGTCTTGGATCGGCCCTGCGAGTGCCCCTGGCGGCGCGCCCCCGGTCCAGCGCTGGTCCGAGGCATCCGCGCGGCTCCGACAGTTTATGTGTATGCCGCCCTTCTTCTTTTGTAACTCCTCTGGGCTTCGCGCTTCCTGCCCAGCGCCACTCGCTCCTCCGCCTTCTCCAGTCGGTGGAGGGCGAACCGAGGCAACAGCGAGCCTCACTGGCGCTCCTCGTCGCTGCTCGGGCCTCCCTCTGGAGGCTTCTCGTCGCCACGGCTGGATCCGCGTCGATACACGGATCGGGAAGGATCCCGAGGAGGAGGAGGAGGAGGAGGAGGAGGAGGAGGAGGAGGAGGGAAAGGAGGAGGGAAAGGAGGAGGAGGAGGAGGAGGAGGAGGAGGAGGAGAGGAGGAGAAGGAGGAGGAGGAGGAGGAGGAGGGAGAGGAGGAGGAGGAGGGGGGAGTCGCGGACCGACTCTGATCACAGTTGTGCTGGGCTGGGCGGGAGGGCCGCCGCTGCCTCGAGCGGCCCTCCTCCGGACAGTGCTCGCCCGCTCGAGGGAGGCTCGGCGAAGAGGCGCGGGCGGCCGCGGGGCCCTGGCCGGCGCCCGAGCGGACCGGCGTTGAGCACGCTGCTCGGCTGCGCGCTTGTGGCACACGCCTGCTCGATGCTCGTTTTGGGGACCTTCCCGGGGCCCACCTAATGGATCTGTTCGACTCAGGGTTCGACTCAAGTTCGACTCAGGTTCGACTCAGGTTCGACTCAGGTTCGACTCAGGTTCGGCTCAGGTTCGACTCAGGTTCGACTCAGGTTCGACGCAGCTTCGACGCACGAGTGGAGCGAGTGGCTCCAGGAAGGTCCCCAGAATGAGCATCTAACGCCTGAAATCGACGGGCACCGCTTTGGCGAGCCTGCACGGTTTTGTCTCGCCGGCTGCTGCCGTGGATGCGGCTCGGACGGGGCGTCGGAGGGAGGCCAGCGAAAGTGCGCTGCCTGACGGCCCCCCTCCGGGGGCACCCGGTCAATTCGGGTGTCGTGCATGCTAGATGCGAGGGGCCTCGGCCCGAGCACTGCGATTCCCGCCATCCTTCCTCCTGCTCGTCGTCGTTCGTTCGTAGCTCGAGGCAAGCCTGTGTAGCAGCCTGTTCCAGGGAGAGGAAAGAGCAGGAAGAGGGAGAGACAGAAGGCGTCCGGGGTCAAACTAATTACCCAGGTGGCCCTGAGCCCCCAGGCAGCCAGCCCTCCTGATGTGCAGGGAGGGTGGGCACAGGGGGGAACACGTGGAGGGCGGACACGGGGGAAGGGAGGACCCCGCGACATGCTCAGCAGGCGTGTCAGAACCTTCGTCCTCCCTTCGCTATCCTCCCTCCACCCTTCTCCCACCTCCCCATGCTTCTTGCGAAGGTTCGTTTTTCGGGCACGCAGCCGGGAGGCACAGCCTCCCATGGCTGCAATCGCTGGAATACTAATGTGTGTCCCTGTCCGCCTACGAAGTACTTGTAGGCATTCGCAAGGCAAAACTCTGCGCGTTACAGATGGCTCCATTCTGTATGCGGCATGATTAGAGATCTTAGTGGCTGCATCAGAAGAATGGTTCCCCCCTCCTTCTCCTTCCCCTCCTCCCTTCTCCTCATCCTCCTCTTTTTCCTCCTCCTTCAGCTCCTACTCCTCCTCCTCCCCCCTCTCCTCCTCCTCCTGCTCCGTAGCAATTTTGTCTCACACCGTTTTGGCTTAAGTGGAAACCATCTCCCTCTGGCTTCAACTTGAAATGCAGCCGATGGGGCTGGCCCAATGCGCCCACCATCAGGTCCCTTTTGTACGATCCCTGTTCGAACTTCAGGCCATGCAGCTTTGCCGCGTCACTTTTTCTGCGGCGCCATGGCGGCGAGCGAGAGCGACATGCATCATACCCCTGGTGACATCAAGGGGCTCAGTGACCGCATGGAAGACGTCGATAAGAAGCACGAGCGCACCATAATGGGATGGTTCTGTACAGGAAGGTCGAAGTTCAGGCCGCCGCCGATGCCATGAACCAGGCCATGGCCAATCTAGAGGAGTCAGAGGTCACCATGAACATTCACATTCAGTCCGAGGAGACCGCCAGGAAGCTAGAGGAGATCTCTCGTTCCAGTCTCGGGTCGCACAGACTTTCTGCCATGAGCGGTGGCAGTTCCAGGTGCACTCCTCCGAGCAGGGCGGCAGGCGTCAAGCCGCGCAGGGATTGTTTTGCGAGTCGTTCTCGTCCACGTGGGTGTTCTGAACACACACCGACCAGGCGAGGTCCAAATGCATGCGTTGGGAGGATCCAAAGGCGAAGGTGTAGGCCCCCATTCGGGCCGAACGAAAGGGGGGGATAGGGAAAGGGGGGGTTACGAAGAAATCTGCTGCATGCAGCTGGTTTCGGCCCAGCCGCTGGGCCGATTCCTCGATGCATAGGCGCATGCCAGCTCCGGTAGGCGCTGGGAAAATCAGCTACATGAGCTGATTCTCTACCCTACCCTTTGCTATCCCCCCCTTTCGTTCCCCCCGACCCATGAGAGCGAGGCTAGATGCACCCTCCTCGGTACGGCGTCGCGGCCAGGCGCTCGGGTTACCATGGTCACGCTCCTCGGACCACCTCCGCGAGAGCAGCGGCTGGCGTGAAGACGTGAAGCTTGGACTCCAGGGTTTCTCAAGTGCACGCTCTCCATGATCGAGACCGGCGAGTGCCACGTCCTTGCCCGTGTGAAGGAGCTCGAGCAGAACCAGTTCGAGGTTACGGCAGGACACGGCATTATCCAGTTGTTCCGGATCGGGGAGGGGAAGGCCGAGACGATGTCCACAGTCATTCTCTCGCAAGAGGGAGAGTCTTTGTTGTCTCAGACTTGCACTGGCTTGAAGGTTTGTGTTCTGCAATTTATGCCAGAGCAGGGGTGGCCGTCGGGGTCGACTCTAGCGGCTGTCTTGAGATGGGGGTGCAGCGAGAGCGTCCCGATGATGCTCCGAGCAGTTCTACGCGTGCTTGCCCTCCCGCCTCTCTTTCCCGTCAAGACTCTCAAATGCATTCGAAGCGTACCGATAATTAACGATGCCGGCGGTGATCTCAAGCAAGAGTTCTGTATCTGGTTCCGCTTCGTCTACCCCCAATTCTAGTTCAGGCAGTGCATCGGTTGACTCATCGTCCTCGTCCCCTGTCGGCTCGGACTTGCCCGTGTCCGACTTGTCGGAGCACGTTCCCTTCGAGCCTAAGCAGTCCTTGAACGTGTGCACTTGGAGTGCGCGTTCCTTTTTTTGGGCGCTGCGTATTATCCCCAGGGTTCCCACTGTGCTAGGTGTAGCAATCTGTTTTGACATGTGCGAAGTATGACATCGTACGCGTACAGGATGCCAGTAGGCCTCAGGAACACCTCGAGTATCGAATATCTTTGCGCAGAAGTGTTTCCGCCTTTTGGTGTCGGTACCTCTCTGGACTTCACTACCTCTGGGGCCTGTACCATTTCCGTCCATCCTCGTCTCCAGGCACAGCGCGCACAGTGCGTTATCGAGCAAAGTCGTATTCCCAGTATCGCGCTCTACAATCACAAGTGTTGCTTGCGTGCTATCAAAGTGCACCTCGAGCCCGCGCATCACCCTCTCGTTCCGCATGGGCAGCTCGGGGCGACTCGGCGCCGATTGGTGCCTGCAAAGAACGCCTTGCAGATCTTGCTCGGCGATTTCAGCTTTCACGCTCCAGGAGAGGCCTTGTGCCGCAGCGACGGCAGAATCATCGCAGGAAGCCGGTCGAAGGCCCAGGAGTTTGAGCGGCTCTTTTTTCACTTGACAGAGATCGCGCCAGCCTCATTTACTCACCGCGTGGAAGGCTTGAGGGGTGACTGCAAGGCTGGAAGGCAAGGCTTGGATTTCTGTTCGCTCTCCTGCGGGTGATCTTTGCGGTCTTCATCCTGTTTCCAGTGTCATAGGCTCGCCTGCGGACCTCCAGGTTCAGGTGCCGTCCGACTACGCACCCTGCGGTGGTGTCTTGCAGGCCATCTGCAGTGGCACCGCGAAGATCTCCGCCTGGGCCACCGCGCGCTCGGGACTTGGCACATTTTTGGAAGACGTGGTCTCTACTTGGATGGATGACGGTGTTTATACGCACTTACAGAACATATGAGTACATAGCTTCTGTTTACGCAGGTTACTACAACAATATATACTTAGGTTAGTACTTGAGATACAGACGTACTCATAACCAGGTGTTAGTAGGTTAGCTAACTAGGTTAATCTAGTTACGATAAGTCCGCTATCCTGGATACGCTAACTCCGCTATCCTGTATACGACCAATAACAAAACTTTACACATCTACTAAATTTTAAATGACAAGGCCACGTATTTTCGAAAACAAGCCGCATACAAACAAACATAAACAACACAAAACACATAAACGCACACGTTTGAAGCATCGGCGTGCACATTGATTGTTTCGAGGGGCCCTTTGGGGGCCTGGGGGAGAGCGGCTCTATGGGCTCCATGGGGCCCTTTGAGGGTTCCTCCAGGGGCCCCCTAGGGAGGGCATTCGAGGGGCTTCCCAAAGCCAACTAAAACAAGTCCGCCAGACAGCACGGCCAGCAACACTATGTTTCATATTTTTGTGCATAGGACGTGCCGAAGTTTCGGCGGCAAAAGGACCTGACATATGCTGCCGACCTCTGCGGGCCAGAACACGGTCGGCTCCAGCAGACTGGAAGTAGGCACTACAATCGGAGCATCTTGCACGATACATTTTGCAACGTGAAACTGGACCGACTGAAGATCCCATTCGCTCACGCAGCTGACCACGACTCCATCGATGCTGCAGTGGCACCATACTTCACCAAATCGAATGAGCCCATCATCATTCTGGAATGCGACCACATCAGCAGCCCTGATGAGTTTAAAGTTGACAAATGCTTTTGAACTTGCCAAGATG